AGTCCCCGAACAACTGAAATGCTTCCACCGCGCTCCGCAGGATTTAAAAATCAGAAGCATATTCTGACAGCACCAGAGAAACGTAATTATCCTAGCGACAGGGCAAGGGGCAACGGGCACAAAGTGAAGCAGAGGAAGCTCCAGCTGAACACGAGGAAGAACTTCTTCCCTCTGAGGGTGACGGAGCCCTGGCCCAGGCTGCCCAGGGAGGCTGTGGAGTCTCCTTCTCTGGAGATATCGCCTGGATGCGGTGCTGTGCAGCCTGCTCTGGGTGACCCTGCTTCGGCAGGGTGTTGGGCTGGGGGACCCACAGAGGTCCCTTCCAACCCCGAACATGCTGGGATTCTGTGTGATTCTGTGAACACAGGAAACCTAGGTTCCTTTACATTTCTTTTTGTCCTTGCCTTTCCTGCCCAGGTCCGTCCACACGCCCACTGATCACCCGTCAGGGAACACACAGTGTTTGCTCCGACCATCCAAGATCCACACCCCTACACCGAGGAATGAGCACCTGCTCCCAGGCAGAATACATACCGCTGGAAGCCCACCTGCTTCTCCCCGCCTGGAGCCACGCATTTTGGCCCTTCCCTTCTAGCTAGAAGAAGCCATTTCATAAAACCTACAGAAATTACAGGGGAAAAAAAAGGAAGCAACTACGAGAAGCTGTTGTTTGATGTGAGTTGGGACATGCCGGGGTACAGGCAGCTGAACCGCCGCCGCCATTCCCACGGCACACGGGCACGTCTCCCTCCCAACAGCAGGAGTGGACGTTTCAGTCAAAGAGGAGGAACCGATGGGTCAGGAACCTCAGAGTTGTTTGAAAGCAATCCTCATGTACAACACTGCTCCTTTTGGAAAGCACCATCCACGTGATGGGACGGGTATGTGCGGGGAGAGCAGCTCAGCTCTGCGCCAAGCGCTGCCCCTTCCTGAAGAGCACCTCCCGGCACCCCACCTTGGGTGCCCCCGGGCTGGAAAGCAGCACTCGGCATCGCGCTCTCCAACACTCCCCTGCACGCTGGAGCTTCTCCAGGGCCTCTCCTCACACGTATGAGGAAAACAGAGCACTTCTATGTATTTTAACCTGCTTCGGTTCACATTCCCCCATGCGTTTAGATAGCTCAGTATTCGGCTCCAAATACTTGATAGAGTTCAGAAAGCAAACATATAAACAATTTATGATAAAGTTTTATATTCAGTTTGATGCCAAACTGCAACGAGCATCTGAGGCAGGCATATTGCAAAGCAGGAATTAAACAAGGTTGACTGCTTCTCCTGCTTTAAGATCATGTTCCCTTAGGTGAACACCAACAACTGAATGCATATTTCACATTACTCATCTCCATGTTATTGAGATGAAGACAGATTTGCATAGATACCTACTTGAAGAACGTCTTATTTGAATTTCGAGCTCATTCTCTAGTTGGGCCAATGGCCCATCGCTTTCTTGAACGGCCCAGCTTTCTTGGAGCAGCGCACAACGGCAACATTCTGCACGCAGACTGCCATGATTACTTATTATGCCATATAAACTGCCTTTAAAACTATGCAGAATAAACAACTGCCACCCACTGGTTGCCAGGCTGGCTTCCGCACGGCCTCCTTGGACACGCAAACTGCTGAACAGACATTTCCTTGTTGCCTGCAATCTGCATAGAGAGGCCTGTAAAGCTAGTCTGACCACAAGAGATTAATAGCTTTAGCCAAATAATGCGGTCACCATGCGACCGATGAGCTGTCCCAGCACGTCTGTGAGCCTCTCGGCAAGGTTCAACACGCTGCTATCTGCACCTTGTTGCCGGGAGACACAACATCGCCCGGGAAGGCAAGGGAAGCCACGCTGCTGCGACCACGGCGAACCCCCTGAGGAGTCACACCGAGGGCCAACAGCCCGTCACTGAAGGTCTGCCAGGTTCTGCTGACACAAGGCAATGGCACGTAAGAAGAAACCATAGTAAAGCATCTCTCCCCTGCTTCAAAACCTAATTCAAAACCACGTTAAGACTAAGTTTTAAGGCATACCACATTCAATGTTTGAAATCAGAAGCTCCAGTCTCACAACAAGTTTCACTCCCAGGTTCTCACTGATACTTCTCCACAAACACGAAGCTCCCCCAAGGCATGAAACACATACAAGAGTTACCCAACTTGCCAATTGGTCACTCCGTGGCAAGCGTGTATTTTAAATTTACAGAGGTCATCCAGCCCTGCACTGGGGCATGATTTTGTAGGACCGACTGCATCAAAGATCCTCACAAAGATCTCAAAGATCCTTCCTTCCTTCCTTTTAAGAGAAAGAAGAAGAGTACAGGCTACGGAACCAGCAGCTCAAAATGGAATTTAGTTAGGAAATACTGAAGTTTGAAATAATTTTAGTCCCAGTAGACTCCTTCCACCCGAAGAAACCAGCTAGGCAGACACTCACTGGGCACCCAGCTCAGCTCCACAAGATGAAGCCTAGTTTGTCCTCCGAGCATCTGCCTGCGCCTGGGCAGCAGAGCTCCGGGCCGACGGCCGGAGCGGCCGCAGAGCACGCCTGCGCGTTCCGACATCGCGCTGCGTCTCCGACTCCGCTCACGGCAACGCAACGCCGTGTGTCTGGCAACGCACCCGCCGAGCTTCCTCCCGGCCGGTTCAGACGGACAGAAACTGCGTCCCCGGAGACCCAAACCCCCACCAGACTGGCAACCTGCAAGGGAAGCGGAGCGGCCAGCAGCGCTGCGCAGCCCTTCCGACAGCCCGGCGATGACTAAGCAATTACGCAGCATTGTTTCTTTTAAAATTAATCACTCTTAACGCCATCATGTAGAACACGCAGATCACATGTGTAGCGACAGATTCTGCGACACAGGCTTCAAAAAGAAAACTTTTTGTTCATTTGCACAGAGCTCAAACTTCAATTATTTGCATGGGCTTGTCTTACTTCTACATTTGCTGTTTTGTTTTCAGAAATCATTTTAAATACTCGGAAAAAATGAAAGTTTGCTGTAAAATACAGCAAATTTTATCTGCTATGCAGTTACAGACTGGCACATTTTTTCACGGCAATTCTATAAAATATGGTTATTCCCTCTTACATATAATTCTCATTTCCTACTTCACTTTCATTTTCAGTGTGCGGTATCTATATTCTGATATAGCCTTCAGTAAAAAGGATGAATTCACAGGCCTGAGTTTTAGTGCCTAGCCCAGCATCCAGCTGGGTGAAAGTGAAGACTCGCACTGACTTTCAGCACTAGATTGGGTCTCTGAAGCCTAATGAGAAATGTCAGCAGAGCAAATAAAAATAAAACATTAGGGAGGAAGGGGCAGATGGAAGGGGAAGGCAGAAGAGGCAGCGAGAACCAACCCACAAGGAATCGGACGGCAAAGGCCGTTTGAAGTCACAACTGCACAACGGCAGCAGCGTCGCTTTGAACTGACTGGGACTAGAATGAGCCGCACTGGGCTCACAGATCATGGCAGGGCAGATAAGATACTAGAAATTTGCATCATATGCTTCCTCTAGAGAAAAAAAAAAAAAAAAAAGAGCGAGCAGCCTACGCCCTACACTCACGCGAGCACGGACTCCACAGAGCTGATCAACTCGTAAACACCAGCACTCCCCACTACTACTCAAAATGGAACCCGCATTAGAAAAGTTGGAGAAGTTTTGTTTTAGCTCTCAGGGTGCAGGATCAAGGCTAAATCAATAATACAGCCAGAAGAACTTAAAAGCTGTTTTCTAATTTCAGAAGATGAGTGGACAAACACTGCGATGTATATGGGAAACAGTAACTTCTAACAAATGGTTTAACATCGTCAGATGACAGCTTCAAGAGACGATCAGCATTTCTGAAGGTACTGCTCGGGCTGCTCATAGTGCATTAGCTGAAACCACCGTGTCCTAGCAACTACGTGAAATCACCAGCCAAAGCTCTGAACAGAGCACCTATCCGATTCCAGTTGCTCAGGACGTAACTATGAACACTGTGCCAGGAGCGCACAGAGCCGGCCCGGACTCGCAGCCCCTGCATCACGCCTCTGTCAGTTGCAGCAAAGGCTTGTTCCTGCCGCTGCTTTTTCTAACACGGAGAAAAGGCTCATTAGGAACGGCAAGAACAAGCACAGCGTCACACAACAGGCTCTGCCGACGCTCTCTGCTTCGACAGAACTGAAGTCTTCTTATTTCACACACTTCAAAGTCCTTCAGTTCAAAGCACACTTCCCAGATGCTGAACAGCAGTTCACAGAATCACAGAATGGTGGGGGTCAGAAGAGACCTCTGTGGGTCACCCAGCCCTACCCCCTGCCCAAGCAGGGTCACCCAGAGCAGGCTGCACAGCACCGCGTCCAGGCAGGGCTGGAATATCTCCAGAGAAGGAGACTCCACAGCCTCCCTGGGCAGCCTGGGCCAGGGCTCTGTCACCCTCAGAGGGAAGAAGTTCTTCCTCATGTTCAGCTGGAGCTTCCTCTGCTTCAG